GTTTACACTCACCTACAGGTCAGGACTGCAGTTTACACTCACCTACAGGTCAGGACTGCAGTTTACACTCATCTACAGGTCAGGACTGCAGTTTACACTCACCTACAGGTCAGGACTGCAGTTTACACTCATCTACAGGTCAGGACTGCAGTTTACACTCATCTACAGGCCAGGACTGCAGTTTACACTCATCTACAGGTCAGGACTGCAGTTTACACTCATCTACAGGTCAGGACTCTATAGTTTACACTCATCTACAGGTCAGGACTGCAGTTTACACTCATCTACAGGTCAGGACTGCAGTTTACACTCATCTACAGGTCAAAACTCTATAGTTTACACTCATCTACAGGTCAGGACTCTATAGCTTACACTCATCTACAGGTCAGGACTCTATAGTTTACACTCATCTACAGGTCAGGACTCTATAGTTTACACTCACCTACAGGTCAGGACTCTATAGTTTACACTCACCTACAGGTCAGGACTTGTCAGTTTAGTGATTGTTGAAGCTTTAGGTGGAATTCTTTCATTCTTGCTTGATGAACAACTCAAGTTGCTCAACGGTCCGGGGGTCTCTTCATAATGCTCCACACGTTTTCAAAGGGAGATGGGGGTATGGACTGCAGGCAGGCCAGTCCAGTACCTGCACTCTTTATACAAAGCCACGCTGTTGGAACACATGCAGAATGTGTCTTCATTGTCTTGCTGAAATCAGCAGAACGTCCCTGAAAAGGTTTTGGGTTGGATGGCAGCAGATGTTGCTCCTAAACCTGAGTGTAGCTTTCAGCATTAATGGAGCCTTCACAGATGTGACAGTTACCCATAGGCACCAATACCAGAGTTGTAAAATAACTAAGTACAAATACTTTGTTACTGTACTTAAATAGAAATTTTGGTTAATTGTATTTTACTTGAGTAATAATTTTTCAGCGTACTTTTGACTTCTACTTCTTACATTTTTAAACAAGGTAAGAAGTAGAAAGTCGTTACTTTTACTTCATTTCAGCTTATTGTTGTTTTAAAAAAATCCTCCTGATAAACTGTGCCTCCTGGATCGAGTGAATTTAATTGTAGTTGGATGAGAAGTATAAATATATACCATTCTGATACAAATTGTACACAATCCACAGCTGCACACCTTTAGAAAAAAAATAAAATTTTTGGCGGTCACACCTCAATAAATGTCCTCTTGGTTAACCTAACCACTCATTTCTACTCAATATTTTTATTTTTAATACTTAAGTACATTTTATGTCAGAAATTAACTTTTGATGCTGAAGTACAAAAAAATCAAACACTTTAAGACTTTTACTCAATATTTTTAGAGGAGAAGTAATTTCATGATAAGGTATTTATAGTTTTACTCAAGTATAACTTTGAGGTACTTTATACAACACTGACTAAATGGTATGTGCATGTGTATATATGAATGTGTATGGATATGTAGGTATGGGTATGTTTACATATATATATATATGTGTGTGTGTGTGTGTGTGTGTGGCTTTCAGCAAGGCTATAATCATTGTAATTACATAGTTATGCATTTTTGTTGCTGTGGTGTTGTTATCTTAGTTTTTGTATGTGTGGAGCCAAGATGTCAGGTGTGCTGTCTTGTTTTTTTTTAAATACATATTTCACATTTCTTCTAATCTCTCTTGCACTCTCTCGTTAACATTCACTTTTTCCTTTTCTCTTTCTTTTTCTCCTTAAAAAAAGCCACTGATGACGAAGAAGCTAAGATCCTAATATTCAGATATTCAGTTCTGCTTTCTACTGAAGTGGCAAAAAAAGATAAAAAACACTAATTTTTACACAATACTTTTACTTTTAATTACTTTTAATTTACATTTTATGTCAGAAATTTWCTTTTGATACTGAAGTACAAAAAAATCACACACTTTAAGACTTTTACTCAATTAATATTTTTAGAGAAGTAATTTCATGATAAGATATTTGTACTTTTACTCAAGTATAACTTTAAGGTACCTTGTACAACACTGACTAATACACCCCCATACCACCAGCGAGGCTGACTCTTGAACTTTGCGCTGATAACAATCCGGACAGTTCTTTTCATCTTTGTCCCGGAGGACAACACATCCATGATTTCCAAAAAAACGATTTGAAACGTGGACTCGCCCCATCCTTGCTTGTGAACTGAGCCTTTCCTGGACGCTCTCTTACTGTGTTCAACTGAACATAGGTTGAAAAGCATTTACAAATCACTGTATTGTTTCTGTTTCACACACATTCATTGGAACTGGGCTGGTAGCTGGGTGAGGACGGAGGTAGTAAGAGAAACGAGAAGCTTGGGGGTCAGGAGGTTAACATAGAATAACACCCTGGTTCCACGTACAGCTCGGCGGAGGACTTCAGAAAAACAAGAACTGTGTAGTTTCAAAATAAAAATAAAACCTAGACAATTTTAAAATATTTCCTAATCAGCAAAATAAAACACAATCCTGGATCAAGTGAAAGCTGTTGCGTAAATCAAACAAAACTTTAAATTCCTCTAGCAGCATCATTGTTTAAACCATTTAAAGCAACTTTTTAAAACTAGTTTTAGACATAATCAGTTAATCTTTGCTGGTAATAAAAACCCACAACAGATCTTTTACTGAAAATACCTTTATTGTTCAAATCATCCAGAAATAACAGCCCCTTATTCTTTAGATGTTCCACATTTTCTTAAATAAATGCGACATTGTGAATTGATTTAATTTAAAAATGAGTCACTGCTGTAATATACTGCATAGGAAAACTAAAACAATGTATTCAGGGCACAAAAAACAAGTTTTAAATGTTAAAATTGTGCCTTTTTCCCCCTGCCCCACATACAGGTTATTACACATTTTTTGCAGTTTTAATTTAAACTCAGTAACATTTTCAAAAAAAAAAAAATTATAATTTTGGTGGAAACCCTGTATTTTTTTAAACAGAACCTTTTATTGGCCAAACAAGACTAAGGAGCTCCTGGGAGCCAATTAAAAAAAAAAAAAAATGTTTGAACAAAGAAGATAAAGAAAAATAAACCCAAACATCAGCAGAAACATGAGTTTTACATTCAGGAGTTGAACGCAGTGATCGCTGTCGAAACAAAAACATTAATGATGTAACGTTATGAATGAGAATTGATCTGGGTGTTAAAACCAGAGGCTGGATTAACGCAGGGCTCCGCAGATGTGAACAAAGCTGGATTAAGACGGGAGTCTCGTGGGCAGTGCTGCTGTTGGAGAAACTGTACAAACTAGGCACGTTGTTGGTAGAAAAATAAACAAACCAGGTAAAAATTATGGCTTACTTGTACAGTTGTGGACTGAAGTTCTTATTAAATCATCATGAGTGAACGTCAGGATCATTTTGGGCTTTTAATCGTTGGTTTGAACCATTTTTATCAGGGTGGAGCAATGAAACGAGGTCAAGAAACACCAGGAAATAAATGTTTAACGATATCTAAAAAACAAATTAATTCTAAATGTTCAAGAACAATGGAGTCTCAAACCCGCCATGTTCGGAAACTACTGGGACACGGGCGTCCCCCCGTCCACTAAGAAAGAAGCTCCGCCTCCAAAAGCCAGACTCCTCCTGGAGAAAGGCTTTACGATCAAAACGAGACGAAGAAGTTTGTTTGGAGGAGTCAAACTTCAGAGGGCAGTGTGGAGCACAGCGGTGGCGGCGTCATGCTGTGGTGATGAAACTTCACCGTAAATCAGCAGCTGGACGGTTGAAACTTGGACACAAACATCAGGACTGGAGAAGAAGAAAAGTGGACAAAAACCCAGCTTATTAAAGGACTCAGAAGGTCCGTTCTCCAGGTGCAGCTTGCTAAAAGACGACATGTTAAACCAGTGTGAACTAAAATAGTCTTCTTCTCTTTATACGTGCTACAACTCCTCTAAGAGTTCAAACAAACCCATTAAAAGCTTTAAAATCACCTGACGTTCATCCATAATGAGCGTAAAAACTGTAAAAAAGGTGGCTGATGTTAGAGGTGAGGATGAAGCAGAAATATTTAGATGAAACGCCGTCATAAATCTGCGTGACGGCTTTTTCATGTGCAGGGGAGGAATAAAAAAACCATCCAGAACAGTTTCAAACTTACATTTTATGTTTCTCCCTCCAAAATACGCAGTAATACTGAAGTACAAAGTACCAGCAGTGGAAAGGCTAGAGACAGAAAACGCCCGAAGTTTTAAAAACAAAACAAAAAACTAAACGGACATTTTTGGTCTCGACGGGAGCAAAAACAAAATGTGCAACAGCAACCACATTTCTGATTCGTGAGGAAAACAAATCTAAAATATGTGAAGGAAAGCCCCGCCCCCATCATCAGTTTGAAGCTGCCGTGAGGTTCGTGACGAGTGAAGACCAGATTATTTAATCTGACTCAGAATGATGGCTTCTCGTTTTAAAAGTGTGCAGAAAAATAGTTGAATCTGCTGAAAGTTTTCAGAGGACATGTGGGGAAGAACAAACAGAAACAAAGCAGAATATCCTGGATTTAAATGTCCGTTTTAAGAAAACATGTTTGTAACTTTGACTTCCATTTGATTCGATCTGACCTTTATTTCATCATTTATTAAAAACACAACACTCAGTTTCTATTTTTTACTTTCCTGTTGGCGCCAAAGATACAAAACATACACTGTCTTATAACTAAACAGAAAAATACTTTAAAGACTCAAAATTTTTTATCCTTTTTGCACCGGTTTGAAAATTTAACAAATTTTAAGGTTCTGGGTGACTTCACTTTTTCTTTTTTTTTGGCAAAGCAGCAGAAGTGCATCGGTAGTTTTTATTTAAAAAAAATCAAATAACGTGAAACTTTAACAAATATAATAAAATACTTGTGCTTCTAAAGAAAAGAGCTTCCCGTTTATCCAGACGTGAGTCTTTAATGAGGTCCTGCAGAGCCCTGAGGTGTGCGGCAGTTCGATGTTAAACATGTCCTCCCCGCCCTGGCATTGGTAAACAAACACCTAAAACACACATTATACTAACGTTTTTGTTGACTTTCTTTGATAATCGTCTGTAAATACCCTGAAATGTTCTTTATTTCTGCGCAAACCAAAATGAAACGAGCTAATTTGACCACAGATTTGGCTAAACGCAGACGCCACTCGCTAACCTGACCTTTTCTCCGCCGAGTCACAAAGCTGCAGGGAACTCACAAAGACGCGTCTTTGAGTAAAAACAAAAACAAAGCAGTGAGGTAAAGTTAGACAGAAATAGATTTAAAGGAGGTGAACGAAGCGGCTCGGTGAGGCAGCGTTCAGGTTGAGGTCGACCAGACGATAAAGTGACAAATTAAACCCGAAAGAAAAGATCTGCAGCCAGACGTTACTGTGAAACCTCCTCCTCAAATAAACCATCATCTTTATTCAAACTGATAATTACCATTACATATTCTGCCTTTAAAAACAACAACTTTTACCCTTAAAAACTCTTTTCCCCACATATAGATATTGTTTTAACTTCGGCTGTTTGTAGTGTGATTTGTGGTTTTAAGTTAAGTTTAAACTTTATAAATGGTGATTTATGGTGCAGTAATAATATCTAGAATTATTTATTTAATAAATGTGCGAAGCAGAAAAGGAAAAAAAAAGCTCGACCGTTGACTGATGTGGTAAATTTCTCCTAAAACAGCTGTTTTTAGTTTGTCGTCACAATTAAGGCAAAAATAAGCATAAATTTGGAGATTAAACAATTTCACCCCAACATTTGGTTTTCAGCTTTTTCAAAAAAGGGGCAGGAAATAAAAAAAAAAGGGGAGAAACATTCAGTGTGCAAAAATATGAAAAGGAGCAATAAAAC